AAGGAGTTCATCATCACCACGCCCTTACTATATGAAATGTTAAAGGGACTTATCTAAGAAAAAGAAGATAAAAAAGATGAACAGTGAAAGGACAGCAAACTCACAGTTATTAACAACCATACCTAAAACAAAAGCAAACTAAGAGGACAACCAGATTAGGAGCGGAAACATAGAAATGAAGATCTCATGCAGGGTTAGCAACAGGAGAGTGGGAGGAGGAGAAGGGGGGAGAAGGTACAGAAAATAAGTAGCATAGACAGTAGGTAGAAAATAGATAGGGGGGAGGGCAAGAATAGTATGGGAAATATCGAATCTAAAGGACTTGAAACACATGGTCATAAACTAAAGGGGGGGAATGGGGGGGTGGTGGGGTGCAGGGTGGAGGGGAATGAAGGGAGGGAATAGAAGAACTGTAATGGCATAATCAATAAAATAAAAAAAATTAAAAAAAGAGAAAAAAATGAAGGAAGTAGAAACACTTTTATTTAGCTAATTCTCCAATGAAAGCTAAAAAAGAAGATTGAAACATGCTGGCAGAGTTTCAAGTATTTGCAGACGTACAGCAACAGTGAACTGAAACAAGCTGATGACTACATGGTGTTTCCCACTCATGATTACAGAGCATTTGAATGTTATGGAGCAACAGGCATCTCTGGGCTTTAAGGAGCGACTAGTGTAGCAAGGTGGTTAACAATCAGACATACATGAATTTATCCAGGACTCTGCACATACTTACTACCTGTGTCACCTTGAACTTCCCAACCCTCAATAATGCTCTTAAGCTATTATTTATCAAGCACCCACTATGCTTATGAGTCATCACATTTAATGTTCGTGCTCCCCTCAGGAAGGACACATTATCAAAAGATTTCACACTTGCAAACTGAGTTCAGAGAGATTAAGTAACTCATCTAGTGTAGAAGCTGGCATTCTAACCTGGTTTGTAGGATTCCAAAGGCCAGGTGGCTACCCCTTAGCATTCTCTAACATTTTTCTTCTATAAAATGAAAAAATTGGAGCCCATATTCTTTACACACCTTTTTAAAAATAAAATCTTTCTTATAAAGAGTTTCCAAAAAGTCCTTTATAAAACATAAATAACCCATTAGGTTGAATCCAGAAATGGTGGCTCATGCAGGGGCTAACAGGGTAGCCATATGAAGTCAGAGGAGGCCGTAAAGTGGTCAGTTGGTTTCACTCACCCCTGCACAACAAGCCCATCTTATCAACATCTAGAAAACTGAAAAGTATAAGCTGGTTTGCAGATTAGAACGACATATCCACATCCATTTGTGTGTACATATTTCCTGCCTCATTCATAGGTGCCAAAGCCTGAGCTCGACTAGAAAAGTCTCAGCATCTGGCTAATATGGACGCATACTAAGTATACACAGTCTAAATAATAAGGGGACTACAGTGAATGTCATCTTGCCTCCAGCCACCCGCTACAGGCATCTCTTTGAAAATAGGGATTTTGTCAAATTTTCTTTTATCCTTTTTGTTTCATGATGTCTTCGGAAATACTTCCTGTTTTCATTGAGATTTTTTTTTCTTGGAGGCATTAGTATTGTTTAAATATAATCAAATATTTAATTACATATGATGCACTTGCATTTAATGACAAATGTACATCTATTAAAATATGTTATAGAAGGGAGGTAGAGGTATAGTACTTCAGGACTGAAATAGTTATATTTACCTATAACAAGTGCTTATGCAGTCAAATACCTAACATTTGCTATTTTGATCAAGAATGCATACCTCTTTAATTATTTCCATAGAGCCATAACTTCTGTAATTCTGTTTAGCACAATGGCCAAGACAGGAATTTTACTGTAATTAATATAAATTTTCTCAAATTTCTAAAAAATCTATAGCAATTTTAGGAACAATAGTAAATATAATTAATCAGGATAAAATTGACGGTGCCCGTATGCTAAATTCTGTCAGACACGTTATTGAGATAAATTATTCCTTATGAAAAATGTTGAAAATGCAGGTATTTTAATTTACACAATGTATTTAATATTGTACACACTATGTTATTAATTATACATGGATGAAACATGATAAATAGGTATCTCCTATTTAATTTATTTTACATTAGTTTTGAGAATGTTTTGTCATGTACAGAACTTCTATTTTATAGTTGTCTCATCCCCTTTTTTAACACCTGTGGCATTGAAACATTGCACCCTCAAAACAGTGCATGTTTTTAGGACAGACAAAAATAATAAGAAATTGCTTTAATTAGGGAATAAAAAAATGAATGTAAAGGTTTTTAACAGTTTTTAAGGAAAAGAAGATTTCAAATGAGCCCAGACAAGGCTCAAATGGATTAATATTCATAAATAAATCAACAGCTAGTCATTCACCTGTGACAGGTTTATAAAACATTCTAGCCAAATATAACTGATGGTCATTTCAGTTTTTAGTAATTATTGCCTAGATATAAAAGAATTCCACGAGTTAGTATGAATTGAACAGATTTGCCACGTTCCCCCACAGGCCTACATTCAGCAACTATTTCTTACAGAAGATAACACAATCTTAGTTAAGCTGATAATTGAAAATGCCTCCCAATAAAATTTGCTGTTCCTTTTTCCTGTCTGGCCTGCTGAGAAACACGGACAGTAACTACTGACTCTTCCTCAGCAGAGTGGACTTCCCATTGTATTTCAAGAAATATTAATGAATTTGTTTCACCCACACTTTCCCTTGGGCCCAGTCTGTCTTTAAGGCCCATGGCACATGTTTGCATTGGCTGACTCTGTGCTGTGGGAAGAAGAAACAAGCCCTTACAGAACAGTAATTCAAAGCTGGATTAGCATTAGGCTCTAATCAGCAAAATGACTAGTACTATTTTAATCCACACCTGAGGTAAGTCATTTCCTTCCCTCTATTTCTTTCTCTCTTTTCATTTCCCCATTGCTCCCCACTTTTAGTCGAGTGCCTGCTATGTGGCGGTGGGAAACGTGGCTGAGAGATAAACCACTCATCAACTGACATCCTAGACTCGAGCTGACTGAACAAAGAGAGCTTTTGGAAGAGACACTGGGTATGTTTACATAATGAAATACAGAAATACACTGTACTTCTAGAACAGCAAATGCATAGGGCTGTTACCATACCCTGCTACACAATATTTGAAAACTGGAACTTCAAAGATCATCTAGTACAAATCCCTCACTTTACAAATAAGAGGGATTTTAGAGGTCATGTAGTACAAATCTCTTTGATTTACAAATAGGGAAACTGAGGCCTAGAGAAATTCAGATTCACAAAGCTAGTTAAAATACAGATCTAGGGATTCCCAGCCTGAATTCAGTGTTCTACTAGGGATTAGGAGGCGGCTAAAATGGGTGAAGGAGGTCAAAAGGTATAATCTTCTGGCTACAATGAGTTGTGGGGAGGAGATGAACAGCATGGTGACTTAGGTTAATAATGTTGCACTGCATAGCTGAGAACTGCTAAGAGAACAGATCTCAGAAGTCCTCATGACCAGAAAAAAAATTTTTGTAACTATGTAATTGGTGACAGGTGTTAACTAGATAATCATTTCCCACTGTATGCTTTTACAACTGAAACTACAGAATGTTATATGTCAATTACACCTCAATAAAAATATATTCAGTGTTCCTTGTAACCGAACAACATAGCTTATTACATATCAAAAACACTCCAGCAACTTATCCACGATTAATATCATGTTTTAACTATTCTGTTTAAAAATAAAACTTTAAAATATAAATTTAAATTTGGGAGAAAAACCCTGAAAAATTTTAACTTTTAAGAATTTCCATTAAATACAACAGTTATACCACGTTACTGTTCAGGTCTGAATCATCAAAGTTTTGTATTTATGGGCATTAGTGTATTGGCAAATTTGCCGTACAGAGAGCATATTCTATATTCCAAAAAAACTAAATACAGAATTGGCAGATGCTGTGAGATTATTATCTAGTAAATAATCATGTAAATGTTATGAGTCATTGGTATTTAGTCAGAAATTGTATCAAGACCATATGATACCGTAAGCAATATCTTCCAGTGCATACTTTATCACACAGCCTCCATGACTACCTGAGAGACCCAGGTAGAACAATGAGTTAACCTGGCAGAACTGACCCTTGGAGGACCAGTTAATGCTTAGCTGAGGTCACAGGGTAACTGCTTGCCAGGTCACACAAAACTCCACGTATTCCCACAGCTTCAAATAAATGTCTCCAAAATGTTCAGTTTTAGTATGCAGGCATGGAAGGGTCGAGTGATGCTTAGAATTTATATAGAATCGTACTGAAAAACAACTGTACACACCACTGGCATCAAAGATAAGATGTCTATATAGACATCAAAGTGGGAAGAGATGAAGTAACTCCAGGAGAAAAATATATGAGAGGTGAGACAGAAGTAAAATAGAAAACGAAAAACAAAGATACATGGAGGGAGAAAGAAATAGAGATAAATAGCTAAAAAAGAAGATAAAAGCATAAAGAGGTATGGAGAAGTGAAATGGAAAGGAACAAAATTAAAAACAATAGTGATCAAATGATGGGTGATAAAGACAGAGAAAGGAATAGAGGATGTACGACAAGTAGAAAGGAACAGCTTCATTATCTTTGTTATCATGAGAAGGAAGGCTTCTTTCTCGGATCACCAAGAATACCAAGTGTGTTAGCATGTCAGTAATAAGTACGAAAAATTTCCTGGTGAATAAAATGTTTTTAAAGATTCTGCAGAGCTTTATGCACTGACTTGTGGAAAAACACACAATTTTTGTTATCTTGGATGATTTACTCTGCATACTCATACAAAACAACAACCATTTACTTTAACTTTTATCCCATAACCTTGAGTGCCACGTGATGAGAAAATGTCAACTGAGTCACAGATGTGTCTTAATCATCAAAGCCACTTCAGTAACTGGATATTTTCACACACATTAAGCAACTTGGCAACAATGGGTAGAACCACATCTTTGGCAATAGCCAGGAGCTCACCTTTTCTTCATCACCAACACAACTCCAAGAAATATAATAACGAACAGCAAGATGCCAGCAAGGACTCCAGCAATTTTAACTGTATGATCTGTTTGTTTCTCAGGTTCTGGGACGGGTTTTGGAGTAGCAGCTCCTAAAGAGGAAAGGAAATGAAAAAGAAAATGGGTGAGTGAGAATAAAGATGTTACATTAAAAAATTTTTCTGCTGCATGTAAGAGAGTAGTAAGACTTGTCAGAGCCCACAGACAGACAAGCTTTGACTCTCCCTACAGCGTTCATATGCACTGAAAGGACTCTAATTGTTCCCACTGTTCTTCAATATTTCACTAAATTACAGCATGAGTTGGATGGCACACACATAACTGACCCCTTTATAAGAGACTCTTCTCAAACACAGTTTTTTATATTTTTATTATCTCTATTGGCTCCCTGCTCTTTCTGCCATTCTAAAACTTGCTAACACAATACCTACCCGAAGCTTTTATCCAAATTTGATTTGCGGGGACATTTTTCTCAATTATTTTTCATAAATGAAGCAGTAATTCCATAACATATTAACCCAAACACCTGGAAAAGTGAGATAAGCTCATTTACCATGCATTTTACCAGCAACTGTTTTTAACACAAGAGATTTTTTCCCCCTGCCTTTGGAAATCTAAATCTAGGTCACATCTGGTAGGCAAAAAGACTCCTTGTAAGCAATTTATACAAAGTAGGAAGCAGCTGATGATCACACTACTGGCACCACATTTAATATCTGTTTAAATGAGATAAGCAGAGCCTTGGAGGGGCGGCTGTCCCAGCTCTCTGGCTTTCCCATTTCCACAACGCCATTTGTCCTGTTCATGGCATAATGTGATGGAATGTCACAGCAACGTCTGATGAAATATCCATTTCCTCTGCTAAATGAGCTCAAGACGAAAAATATTAGGAAGGTAGTGTCGATTCACTCAATAGAATCAATTCTTAAAAGGGCTTTGACCTTTTTAATCGGAGTGAGATAGTGCTCAGCATCTGAGCCATCAAGTCACTTGAAAGGAGGAAAACTATGTTTAAGTTTCTCCCCTTAAAATTTTCCTCTTGTTTTTGTTGGCAAAAATGTAATTAAAACTGAATGTTGGTACCACCCCTTTGTACCCTTTCATGCTTCATCTGGTTCTTGAAAAACTTCACCACTATCATGTCTATAGGAGGTTTAGTCTAAGATGAGCCATCTCAGAGAAATTGAGAGCGTCAAGCTCTTCATCTGTTTGCATTGGGAACAAACTAACAATGTTTCTTTCCAAAAGCATTCACACTAAGATTGCACAGGTGACTCTGCAGCCAGGACACAGCTGTGGCCACCACATGGAGAAGGAGGTCCCATAGAGGGCCATGATCCCCTGCATATTTCCTCTGTGTGCACACTCCAATCAAAGCCACAACTGCAATGGAAGCGGTGATGTAAAAATCACAAGTTGTTAAAACAAACCCCTCTGGACCCTTCACAGGTCATTTTTATTTCTGACAACTTCAGGAGGATGTCCTGCTATTTTGTTTGAATGAATAACCCTCACATCAGTGATATTGTCCAGATAAATCTTAAAAATATTAATGTTTACTACTTTTATTGTAATTACACCTTAAGTATACTACTCCAATATGCCACTGGAACATACAACCAAGTGGTAGATTTGGAGGACACTGTCAGATTAAATAAATTGCTAGGAAAATTTTGAAGATAAAATGTATATGTTATAAAAAATGAATGAAAAGTAAAAAAAAAGTAATCCATGTAAAAATAACATATTTCAAGTTTGCAAAACTGAAGATGTTTCTAATTTTGATTTTTCTATCTAATGAAAAAAATCTTGACTTAAAAAATAAAATAAAATTGGCTTTATTTTTCTAAGTGTTGGCATATAGTGAGCAATTCCATATATTTCACTAGTTATAGATTGTAAACTCTCCAAATACATAAATGACACTGAGTTTTCTCATAACTAAATTATGCTAGTAAATATACTACTTGGGAAAAAACATTTTTTTGGAAAACCTAGTTTAGCCTAAAAAACTTGAATATAAAAAGAGAACATGGCCGGAAGCCATGCATTGTAGACACCCAATCAGAATGCATCCTGACCACAGTCACGTGTTTGCTTCTGTGAGTCAGGCGCCTAGTTGACGTGTTCCTTCAGCCTTCCTCGTGCTGGGTGAGGACTGGCGAATGGCTCTGCACGACTCTGGGTTAGGAAAAGAGATCACCTCCACGGCCTTTCATTTCCCTTAGGAAGCAGGCAAGCACATCGCTACGCAGCCAATGTAACATTAGTATTATATTCTTTAGCACTTACTTTCAACTCATTTCACATTGCAGGTCAAGAAAATGAAATGTTCTATCTCTGCAGGACTCAGCTGCAATGTAATTAGGGTGGCAGTCATACAAGATGGTGGGGGGGGGGCTAAAAAAGGGCTAGAAGGGCTGCTTGGTGCTGCGAGCCACCCTGCACTTTGCCTGCCACAGGGAGCGGTCCCTGAATGAAGGGACTGATTTGGATGTCTGGGTTGAGCTACTCTGGCTACTCTGGGGAGTCATGAACACGTGGGGTGAAATGAATCATGGCCCTGAGAGAACCTCAGGGAGGTGTGTGTCATTTATTCCAGGTTCACTAGACAAAGTCTGCCCGCTCTGCCCTCCGGCCCTTCCCGACATGGACATCTGCATGTTCTCCTTCCACAGGATGCTCTTTTCTCCACTTTGTTTCTGTGGAAACATGTGCTTGGGAGCTGTCAGCCAGCCTCAGACAGAGGACGATCTAGTGACAGAATATGGTTGCAAGTGATAGCTTGTTCCCTCCCCACCAAAAAATCTCTCTAAATTTCACAGTATAATTTACAAATTGCTTGGCAAAAGAGTTGTTTTCATAATAGTCGCCCCTCTGTCTTATATTTTCTTGCCAGGTTTCTAATGGCATGACTTTATTCTTTTGTGGGGCGGGGGGCATTATATATTGTGATTTTTCATGGAAAGATATTTTTTCCTCTTCTGCTGTGCATTCTGTTTAGAGTTTACTGCATATTTAAGTCCATTTAAAGAAAATAAATTCAAGTGTATACATTTAACAAAAGGCATCATTTAGGCTTAAACATATTTATTAAAATGATGAATAAACTAAATATCTCCACAATATTGAGGAGGAGAGGCTGCTAAAATTATGGAACATAATCTTCACAGATACCCACTCTACTCACTCCTAGTAAAGCTCTGGGTTTTTTGTTTTGTTTTGATGCTAAAAAGTTTTTTAAAAAAGAGTGGTATTCCAGTGAACCTGAATTATCTAAGGTTTCAAATATAACGTCTAATGTGAAGAATCTCAAAAAAACCTGGTCATCCCATAAGTATTTGGCTGGTTTTCATTTTGGCAGGAAACAGTCAGCCTTGGCCCTTTGTTCGATGTTAAGTTCAATAACAGCAGCATGCCAGGCTGAGAGCATGAGGGACTCAGCCAGTGGCTTGAGGTTTGAGTCCAATTTTGACTACCGAACTGTCTGCTCCAAATTTCCCAGAAGATGTAAGGGTGCAAACCCAGAAGGCCGTGGAGCCATCAGTGCAGCCTGCAGCTAGTCACCCTCCTGCCACAGCACTGGGGCAGTCTCACCTTGAGGCAATGGGAAGCCTTCCTAAAGGGAAGGAAGAGGGAGGTAAGGAAGCATGAAGGAGACAGAATCTCTGCTTAAGGGTGACCAGTACAATGCTATCCTTGGATACAGGGGAAAATCAGCAATTTTCTTCACTTATTCAACAAGTGTTTATTGAATACCCAGGTATGTTCCATAAACTCTTTTAGCAATATGGCGGTGAACTCGTGGGTAAGATAAAAACCTCTGTCCTCACAGAAGTTACATTCTCGTGAGGAAAGACAGACTCAGATGTAAACAAATACCCTGGGCAGGATGCAAATGGGTGGTGGGTGCTATCGGGAAACAGGCACTAGGCAGTGGGGGCCGTGAGGGCAGGCAGTTGCTATTATGATCTGAGATGGGGGATTATTGAGAACATAGACTTGAGCCGAGACCTGAAAGAGGAGCGTGAGTGAAACATACTGGCATTCAGGAAGGGGCACTCTAGACAGCGGGAAGAAAAAGCCAAACGTCCAAGATGAGACTGTGGAATACCGAGGTGTGACTGGAGAGCCGCAAGCCAGGGAAAGTGATGGGAGAAGTGTCAGAGGAGGGGGTACCTCTGTAAATCACTAGAAAGACTTTGCTTTTTCTCTGCAGGACATGGGAGCTGTGGGAAGATTCTGGGTGGAGGAGTGTGTGATCTGGCTTATGTTTTAACAGGATCGCACTGGCCGCAGTTTTCAGAACAGCCTCTCTGTGGGGGTCAATAGTAGAAACAGGAATACAAGTTTTGAGGCTATTGCTATAATCTATACAAGAGACGAGATGCTTTGGGATAAGATGGTGGCAATGGAGGGGATAAGACATGAGATAGACTTGAGATACATTTGCCCATGAAGTGGATGTAGGTATAATATCCAGGTTTCCAGCATGAATAACTAGAAAGATGGAGTTGTCTTTTACTGAAATGTAGAGATCTGAGAAGTAGGTGGGGAAATTAGGAATTTGGTTTGGGACAAGTTACTTTAGAAATATTAGACATTCACAGGAGATAGCAAGTAGGCAGTTGGAAATAAAAGGAAGATACCAAAGTCTGCAGCATATGTTTTGGGGTTGTCAGCAAGAAGATGGTATTTAAGGCTATGAGACTGCATGAGACTTTGGAAGTGAAGAGAGAGAGAGACTGACTGAGATTGACCTTCATGAGGCAGGAGCATTTCCCTGCCAAATGAGGGAAATCAGCGAGGAGGAAGTCAGTGTGAATACAGACAAAGAGCAGCAATGTGGAGGCTCCAGAGAGGAATGTGGGGATAAAAGAACTCCTTCCTTCCTTCCTTCCTTCCTTCCTTCCTTCCTTCCTTCCTTCCTTCCTTCCTTCCTTCCTTCCTTCCTTCCTTCCTTCCTCCTCCTTCCTTCCTTCCTTCCTTCCTTCCTTCCTTCCTTCCTTCCTTCCTTCCTTCCTTCCTTCCTTCCTTCCTTCCTTCCTTCCTTCCTTCCTTCCTTCCTTCCTTCCTTCCTTCCAAGATGGAA